GCCATTTAGTTCTCTCTGAAATGATGTAAAAATGGGCGGTCGTGCACCTTTCGCTTCCGAGATATGAGCAAAAACGGGACGGAAAACATGAAATTCTGGCATATTCTTGGACCTAAGTGTCTTAGATTAAAATTTCGCTTTCTGGGTCAAAACTACTAGAGATTCTTCACTCAAGTTGTTATGACTGAATCGAGTCTTCAATTCTCTATCCAACGATGCCAAAACGAACTATGTGGCTCAAATGGAGCCTGAGAAACTTCGAAAAAAACAGCGTTAAGTTTGAGTCGATTTTGCCACTCAAAAAGAAAAGACGCAAATCCAAAACTTCGTGAAACCAAGACCTTTTTGAGAAAACTGCCAACATTTGCTTATCGATGGCGCACTCCCTAACAAGGCCATTTAGTTATCTCTGAAATGATGTAAACATGGGCGTTCGTGCAACTTTTGCTTCCGAGATATGAGCAAAAACGGGACGGAAAACATGAAATTTTGGACTAATCTTGCACCTAAGTGTCTTAGTCAAAACTACTAGAATTTCTTCACTCATCTTGTTATGACTGAATCGAGTTTTCAATTCTCTATCCGACGATGCCAAAACGAACTCTATGGCTCAAATGGGGACTGAGAAACTTCAAAAAACGCAGCGCCAAGTTTGAGTCGATTTTGCCACTCAAAAAGAAAAGACGCAAATCTAAAACGTCAAAAATAGAGAGTTCGTACTTTGATTAGTAAACATCGTGCTACGCATTGCGCTCTGCAGAAACACAGTGTATTCGAAGTTAAAAACTATCTACAAGAATTTATTCTTGGCTGCTGAAAGTTTGAACTACGCTGTCTCTAGTGTGCTTTTCAACACGCTGATACAGCTGGTAATGAATTGTTCCGCTTGAATTTGTTGTTGCAGGACATGGAGGAGTCCAAAGCAGTACTGGCAGAGGAGGTGCTGAGGCGCTTTGAGGCGCTCGAGGCGAAGCTGGAATCAACCTTGATGGAGGTTGCGTTTTGGAGGGAAAGGGCGGTAAAGGCGGAAACGCTGCTAGCCGCCAAGAACTCCAAAGTGCAGGAGTCCATTGAGGAGGATAAAATGGAGGAGAGCGCTGCCTCCACCAGCAGCAGCGACGACGAGAAGGTTGAGGG